GGGTTGTGCTACCCTCGACCACCAGGGGTTTCTTTAATCACATCTCCTCGTGGTTTTGCTAATGTCTTCTCGTTGACTAGCGCTTGGAGCCAAGCACAGATTCGCACATTTGGGGACGTGGGCCCCAAGGATGCCTGACCAGGGTGCCTGGGTACGTGGTGCCCCAGTGCCGTGGCGGCTGTAGGCCTGTCAGCATCTTGGGAACATGGTTCATGGGCACCCGTGTCCCGTGTTGAAACTCGCACCATGGTGGGCAGTGCCAGACAGCACGACCCCGAGGTGCTGGGCATTCCACGCTCTCTGGTTTGGCCCTGTGACCCTGCGTGACCCGCCAGGACCCGCTGTGACCCGCTGTGATGTGCTGCTTATTGGTGTCTCCACGCCCTTACTTGACACAGACCCTGGAGGTCGACTCACAGATCTTCGGGTCTTGGCCTTGAGCCCCATGTTGCCCCGTGCAGGTTCCGCCTGGGCTGCCGTGTTCCTGTCACCACCGGGTCCCCGGGACTGGAGATCTTCCCTGTCCCCACTGGCCCTTCTGTTTCTGTCCCGGGCCTGTCGGGAGGGAGGGTTTGCCCTGTGGCCGGGATCCAGCCCAGTGGGGGCCAGCCCAGGGCCGACTCCAGGAGTGTCAGCGTCGAGCTCAGAGTGTGGCGGCTGCATCCCCCGTGTCCATGACGTTCAGGACGCCAGCGCGGGGCGCGGCAGCAGCACAGAATGCCAGGAGGTGGGATTGGGTGCTGGCCGCTCTGCTCCTGACCCGAGTCTCCGGCTCCAGTCCCTGGCTCGTGTCCCTCCAAGGGCTGGGGACAGCTTAAGGACAGCTGTCTGAGGCCCTCTCCAGGCCAGCGAGCCCCTCCTGACGAGCGAGGGCCCCTGCTTCCCCCCCGGGCTGATGGAGAGCTTTGGTCCCCACTGGGGCTCCCAGCAGTCGGTCACTGTCATTGGTGTGGCCGCACCTGGCAGACGCCCTGCAGCAGGACCCGGTCAGGCTGGACCTCGGGGCCTGGGATTCTGGACTCCCACAGAAGGAAGGGGCTTCAGTCACTGGACCAGCGGGTTACAAGGCCTTCGACCGTAAATCTCAATTTAAAACGATTTTACGTAGAATAGCGCGGTGAACCTGAGAAAGAGTTTGGCACAACTTGCTTTTAGGACACACTTGTGGTCCTTCCAGTGACTGGGCTCGGGTCTGGGTGGTGGCAGGCCTCCTTTGGGGACCGTGCTGGAACTCTTGGGGGGCCGGTGTCCTGCCCCCAGCCTGGGCTGCCTCGGGGCGCACGTGAGAGTTGACAAGCCGGGACGTGCTCACGTGGACTCCAGCTCTGGCGGGGAGGCTCCCGTCCACACCGGCCCAGGGCCCTGGACACCGAGGAGGCCCCCAGGGTCCAAGCACACACCTGCGAGTCCCGATCCACAAGTGTTTCCTGCGGCAACCCTCCCGAGTCCCGGGGCCCCAAATCATGGCCCTGGGTGGGTGATGAAACCTCAGGGAGCAGTTTCTGTGAAGTCTGTAGGGAGAGGGGAGCAAAGGGTGCTCAGCTGGTAGGGAGTTGCTGTGGTCTTGGGGCAGCACCTGAGGCCAGGCCAGCCCAGAGCCGGCGCCTCGACGGACCATCACAGTGAGGGGGCCGACACCGGGCTCTTCCCTGTGGGGCCAAGGTGGGTGTCCCCAGCCCCTTCCCCTGGGGGCAGGTGCAGTGCCCGGCTCGGCTCCAGCCCACGGCCTGTGAAGCAGAGGCCTGGGGCTCCGCGGTGGCTGTGGTCGCCGGTGATGGAGCTGGGACACGGCTTCTGGGCGCGGCTTCAGCCCTGGTCCTCTCTCTGCTGGCACACGCCCTCCAGGGCCCTGATCTGACGGAACTGCCTGCAGGGCTCCTGATGTCCTGGCCGGTGGCTCCCAGACCCATCCCCAGCCCTGTCGATGCGTCCCTGACCGTTGCTGTCCTGGGCTCCGGGGGACAGTCGGGGCTGTGGCTCGGCCACCAGCAGGGCCCTGAGGCAGGCTGCGGGCGTGAGCGTGTCTGTCCCCAGCCTGGCCCTGCAGAGACCCCGCACACCCGCACGCCCTCACAGACAAGGCTCCCTTAGCAACCCGAGCCGTTTAGCTCAGTAAGCGCCGCAGTGGGGGACACTCCCAAGGTGGGAGAGCGAAGTGTCTGTGGTTCCTCCCACGGCTGCCCCAGGACTCTGACCTGCCGTCCCAGGCACCTGCTTTGGGTCTCATCTCAGTGTGGATGCACACACGGAGCATGTGGGGGGCCTTTGGCGGCCTTGTCATTCCGAACCCCAGCACCCCTGCTCCGTAGGGTATGGCCCAACATTGTGGCCCCTGGGGGTGATGGTGCCAGGCTGACGGCTCCTGGTTACACCCTGCCTGGGTGAGGGGTGCTCTAGGTCGTCCAGACCCTGCCAGTCCCCACGCTGCGGCCCCTCCTGGCCATCCCCATAGACGTGGGGATCTAGGTTCAGGAGCCTCCATGTGCCCGGGCAGGCTTCTCTCACAGCTTGGGGGCTGGTGCCGAAACACTGGCCTTCGGTGGGGAGTCGCGTGGCTGGTTGTCTGCTTTATGAGCAACTGGGGCTCGCGGTATCCAGGAAAGTAGGAGACAGGTCTCTGCTGCCCACTGACATAGCCAAAGGGGTCTGGAGTCAGGCTGGGCGGCAGTGAGGAACAGCTCCATGTCCACCGGCAGAGCTTAAAAGAGCGGCCAGGACAGAGGGACAGAGGCCTCCCAGCTGCAAATCACAGCGTCGGACGGCCTGTGAGTCCCAGCGTCTTTGTCATGGCCTGCGGACCAGCTCAGGTGCTCAGCGTGGCTCCCCGTGATCACGTCTTCGAGGCTTTATCCACTGTTGTCACAAGAGAACTGTTCTCTCCATCCCAACATTTTTCCTTCTGTTGCATTTGTCTACTTACCCTGTTTATTTTTACTTCATTCTCTGTGCAGTATGTAATTTTTTGTGTAATTAGCTGATGGAAGTCCAAATGTGCAGCCGAAACCTTCCAGGGAGGTGGCGCTGGGGCAGTGCCCCCAGTAGGGTTTTGCTCCGCACGGGGAGGGGTCCCAGCGTCTGGGGAGGAGGTGCCCAGGAGACCCCCACTGGCCTCCTGTGCCGTGCCCCCAGCAAAGCCCGCTGATTCACGGCAGGCTCTGGTCACTGCACGCAGCCCATGTGGAGCCCAGGGCTGGGTGTGCCCGGTGCCCACCACCAATGCCCCCGTGACTTTTGGCTCTCACCCAGACGCAGCACCCCCAGGGGTCGAGTGTGGCCTGGGCAGCTCCTAGCTGGATGGAGTGGGTGGCTACTCCTCGTGCTTCGTCCTGCCGACTTGGGTGACCCCTGCTTTGGACCCAGCTCCTGGCTGGGCTGGAGACCCTCCAGGTGACACAGGTGAGAGAAAAGCAGGGTGGTCTTGTGCAGTGAGCTGCTTGGAGGACCCAGGGCCTGCCTGGGGGAGGGCCCCGCAGTGACAGCAGTAGCGTGGACGAGGAAGGACACCAGGGCTCAGAAACACCACCCGGGAGCCCCAGGGTGCTGCCTGTTCGCCCTCGGCAAGGAGGGAGCGGCCCCTCTCCCCACCTGCCCCTCGGGCCCCATGGTGTCATTTCCTCATTATTCCCTTGTTCTGAGGGGCAGCCCACCCCACCCCGCACTGTCCCGTCTCCCTGCTGGCCCCCATGTGACAGACAGGCGGGCTGGGGCCCCTGCATCCGGGCATCTGTATGAGGTTGTGCTCTCAGCTGGGGGGAGCCCCTCGGGGCACCGTGCCATCTGCTTTGCTCGCATCTGGGTTCCAGGGTCCGACATCACAGACAGCATGCAGTAGGTGCTTACTATCTGCTGAGGGAATGGATGTGCGAGGCCGTGAGTCAGTGGGACCTTGGTGGTTCTCCGGAGTGGGCATGCAGGGAGAGGCCGTGGCTGCGTGGCCAGGGGGCAGCCAGTGTCCCGGCCCGGGGATGGACCGGTGCTGCATGGCAGAGTGAGGGACGACCTCCTGTCTCCCACGGGGCGAGGTGGCCGGATTTCATCTGGTCTGTCCTCCGTCCAGAGCTGACACCATTTTTATCGTCCGAGTCAGCTTTCGGCACTTAGCGGAGGCCACGCTGGTACTCCAGGCAGAGGAACGTCCTACGGAAGGCGGGGTTCTGTGTCTGCCGGGATGTGGGCCCCATGGGCCCTCGGCCAGACAGGCGCCCCCGCTGTGATTTAGGAGACGGGAGGGGGAGGTCACTTCACTGGTTGACTTGTCCCCTGCAAAATCAGCGTGTCCCTTCTCTGCATTCTGTGCTGGCCCAGAGACAGACCAAGGACCCTGCTATCCCCAGTCCTGTGCCCACGAACTGTGGGGAGCTGGGGCCATGTCCACATGGGAAAGCAGGAGAGGGGGCACATCCAGTAGCCTGTGTGTGCATCTCACGTGCTAAGTGTGCGAGTGTGTGCACACCAGCCTGTGGGGGGGAGGGGCGGCCGCGGACGGCCCGGCGTGGAGAGTGACAGCCGCGTCCCTGCCACTCTCAGCCAGCCCTGTACCAACAGGGAGTTTCTCCCTCACCGCCTTTAACAGACCCGGGGGAGGGTCCTCGCTGAATCCACCGCCCTCGGGCCAGGTGGGCGCGGAGACCCCAGGGCCCAGCGTGGGTTCGGATCTCCGTGCTGTGCGCAGTCTGGTTCCTTCCATCAGATGCCCGGCAGCGTGACGCGGCCCTTTCATTTCCGGGCGTGACAGATGGGGCCACGTTTAATTTCCTGCCCGTCCCGGTGGGGCCTCGCATGCCACCGTGGGGCCGTGTACAGTGGAGGTCGCGGGCATGACCCGGCGCCTGCTCCCTCGGCGCGTGTTTCCGCCGACGTCCTTGAAGGTGTCCGAGACGGGTGCTCTGGAGAAGCGGCCTGCCTCCCCGCGGCCAGCAGGGCGCCTCTGAGGCTGGGAGGGCTGGGCGGCTCGTCCCCCAGCCTCACACACTCAGCGCATGCCTGTGCCTCTCTTGCAGGTCAGCTGGCTGCCGGCACATGTGAGATTGTGACCCTGGACCGGGACAGCAGCCAGCCTCGGAGGACGATCGCCCGGCAGACGGCTCGCTGTGCCTGCAGGAAGGGGCAGATCGCGGGCACCACGAGAGCCCGGCCCGCCTGCGTGGACGGTAAGAGCCCACGACCAGGGACCCCATCGAAGGCAGGGGCAGCGAGGTGCCGCCTGACACAGCCGACCCCACCCCTACCCCAGCCCGGGATGTCTGCAGAGGCCTCCTGTTCTCCTGGTCAGGCCTAGGGCTGGACAGTCCCCATGGGGTGACTGCTCCCCGGGCAGCGTTGGCTTGTCTGCAGCGTGGTGTCCGCGGGGCTGTGGGTGGCGGGAAGCCAGGGTCCCGGGCAGGCCTGCGGGACTTCCTGGCCCCTTGGTGCTGCCGTGGGCAGAGGGAGCAGATCCCAGGCCATGCTGTCCGCCGCTGTGGCTGGGGACGCGGTGATGTCCGTCCCCTGTGGCTTCTCGCTGAGGCTGCGTGCAGGGGGTGGGCTTCTCCTGCTTCAGGTCTGGCAGGCGACAGGCACCCGCGGGCTGGCCCCATCCCCCTCGGGCGGGCAGGAGGTGGTGATGGTGTCCCCACGGCCACCGAAGTCAGGCTGTCCGACTGCCAAGATGCGCCATGCTAACGTCCTTGCGGAAGGAGCTCAGAAAGGCGCCTCGTGTGAGGCGGTACCTTTGGGGACTGTCTTTGAAACAGAATCACAGACATTCTCGGAAAAGTGCAAGGAAGCCCTCAATGCACTGGGGCATGTGCACTGGTCGAGGAGGCCGCTGTGGGCTGTCCAGTGTGAGACCGGGCACCCTCGGTGCACAGCGGGGCCTCCCCATGAGCTGGGAGCACCAGAGGCAGGCGGGGCTCTGCCCAGAGCCCTGTGACCAGAGCAGGCAGCCTTGCGGGGCTCCTGTGGCCAGGCCGACAGCAGCTGTAGGCTCCCTGGGGTGGGGAGCCCCACGCAGGGGTGTGCTGAGGCCTTGGTTCCTCGGGGCCTGTAGGAGGTGTGGTCACAGCCTGACAAGACAGCCAGGTCCCAGCGGTCAGCCGTGCCCTTCACTCCCGAGCAGCCTCTGCATGGGGCTCTGGGTGCCTCCCCGGTTCAGCTGCCTTTGCTTGGGAGCCCATTTCCTGCTGACCTATGACCCTGAGACACACGCAGCCCTCGGGAGGGTCACCTGAGGAATGACAGCAGGTGCCGAGCAGGGGCTGGGACACCTTCAGGGCTCAGAGCACATGAGCTTGGAAATTCACTTGCTTCGGTGGTGGGGCCGCTTTGGGAGTGAAGACCCTAGTGTCACTGGGGGCAGGTTTCTAACAGGCCAGGCGGGCCCCAGGGTGGCCCCCAAAGTCAGAAAGTCCCCGGGGAAGGCAAGAGTAGAGCCACAAGGCCACCTTGGGGGATGGAGACTGATTGGCTGATCAGCTTGGGGTCCCCGTGCCTCCAGCATCACCGATGATCCCCTGTCCTGGGACTGTCTGGGATCATGGAGGGGCAGTGAGTCTGCTCTGGAGCTCCGGCCCCTCTGGGCCTCTGGCAGGGCAGGGGAGGGGGGAGCAGGCCCAGCCCAGCCACGCCCAGTCCAGATGCCCGGGGCACCTTTGGGGCTGAGCTGGCGTCTCCGCCTGGCCAAGGGGGTCCTGCGGTACCCAGAATACCCTGGAGGCCGAGCCAGGCGCCCGGCTGACCGCCCCGCCCCCCGCCCAGGCCCTGCGTCGGCTGCCTTCTGGCCTCCACGCCCTGAAGGGCTCTCTGGGGAAGCGGGGGCCAGAGGCAGGTGGGAGCGTCTCGAGGATCTGGCGCTCGTCATGGAGGCCGGCTTTGTTTTGTCTGTCCGTATTAGAAACGTCTATCCGTGGGCATCCGGGGGGAGGTGTGTGCCTGAGCCAGCAGGGGTGTGGCTCCTACACGCGGCTATGGATTCAGGGCCTCCGCGCTGCCGAGCCTGATGCTGGGTGAGCTTGGGCTGGCCTTCCTGACTCCCAGGTGCATTCGTCCCTGCGCGTCCCGCCCCGTCCGGCTCCCCAAACTGGAACAGGTTGCCTGTGAGGCGAGCACACCTCCCTGCTGACACTGACCGATTGTGCCCCGGGCCGGGCGAGGGGCGCGCGGCCCAGGCGGACCCTCACAGTCGCGCCCCCGCCTCTCTCCTCATTAGTCCCGTGGGCCTGTGGGGAGATTTGGGGTCAGAACTGATAACTAATTGAATCTGAGTCTGCTCATGTGAAACCACTTCTTGCTCCTCTCCCGTGAGCCCTCCCGCGCCTCAGGAGCCGGGTCCCAGGGACCCAGATTAAAACCTGGCTGCTTCCAGGAGAGGCCCGACAAATTACTTGGCTCGTATTCTGCACGGTGGGCATTTTCCTGGCTGCCGCCTAATTTAATTTTTGCTTTTCTATTTTCCCTGCTCTGTGCGCGTAAGTTTCCTCGCGCGTGGTGGTGGCTGTGAAAGAGAAGACTTGAGCCTTACTGGGTTGGTTGGAATCCGTGTGAGCCTGGTTTGAACTGGGACGTTTTGGGCTGGCCCTGCTGTTCGTCCAACAGGGGAGCTTGGACGAGTGGTGCACACCAGCATTTGCGCACCTCTTTGTTCATTTAGCAATTGACTTGTTGCTAATTCATTCATTCCCTCATTCATTCATTTATTTGGATACAGTGTGTGCTCCGGGGGGATTGACTCTGCTGCAGGGTTGGGGCCCAGAAGGTGGGGCAGGGACTGTGAGACCCCAGAGCACAGTTGTCTCTTTCTGTCCAGGGCACTGGTGAGGCAAGGGAGGATTTGGGCAAGGTCTTGAGGAATGAAGAGGAGCTCGCCAGGGAAGCTTTTCTTCCTGAAAGGAGGGGGCAACTCTTGGCTGCATCTCTGAACCCCAGGTGTTTTCTGGGAGGACATCTCCCCAGCCTGTATTTGGCAGTGCTGTGACCCGCTAGACCTGTGTGGGACAGGAGGCTCTGAAACAAACCGCAGTCCTCTCTGCAAGGCCGTGCATCCTCAACACAAACACGGGCGTTCCAGCTTGCCTCCGGGGCTGTCCCTGTCATGGGCAGCGCAGTCAGTGCTGTCCGGGTGCGCCGGGCCAAGCTGCCTCCACCCGCAGTGGTGGCTCCGTGAAGCCCCGGGCTCCCCTCACCCCGTCGGCAGGAACATGCAGGCCCGTTGCTTCCGCAGGGCTGTAGCGAGGACCGGGGCCCTGGCCCCACACCGCAGCCCTGTTCGGCAGGCAGCAGGAAGCCACCGATGCCCATGGTCCTCCTCAGGGAAGCAGCCTCTGTCTTTGTATGGGGAGGCTCTTCCTCCCATCAGCTGGCTTCTCATGAAATTTTTGAAAGGAATCAAAGTAAAGAAAGGAGGTGATGCCTGGCCCCCAGCCGTGGGGGGAAAGGAGAAATGTCCCTGGGAGCCTGGGGTGGGGGCCCAGTGTCTGAGCTCCACACAGGCCTCTGGTGAGGGCCGAGGAGCAGGAGGGTGACCAGGGTTGGCACTCTGTCTGGAGAGGCTCCAAGGAAGTGACCGGTCCCGTCAGTGCCCAGCCAGCCGCCAGGCTCTCCGACATCCTTGCCAGGCCCCCCTGGCCGAGAAGCCCACCTGTCTTCCAGGGGGGACCTTGCCCTTTATTCCTGAATGGGGAATAGGGCACATCGTGTGCCCTCACGGGAAGTTCAGAACTTGTAATATGCCCCTCCTTTCCAGGGGAGCCTGGGGTGCCAGGAGTCCCGGGGATGGAGTGGAAGGTCTCATCTGCAGTTCCCTGTGCGCTGGCAGGCTGAGCCCCCGTCTTCATCCACAAATGGGAGGTTGTCAATTCTGCACGTGAGGTACGACGTGTTGACGCCTTTGCTAAACCCCTACCTGCTTTACCCGACTTAAGGAACCAGCATCCCCCGTACGTTCTTGCCAGCAGTGGGTGAGACCCGTGTCCCAGGTGCGGCCTGGGTGCCCTGCCGACGACACGCGGAGCAGGGCAGACGTTGGAAAGGTTTGTGCACAGATGGGTGCTGCAGAGCATGGGGTCCTCCGTCGGGGGGGAGGTGAAGGTCCAGAGATAAAGCCGCACGATTTCTGTCAGCTGACTGTTGACAAAGGTGCCGGGACCGCTGGAAGCCACATGCACTGCAGCAAAGCTGGACCCCTTCTCCCGCCGTGGACGGAAGCTAACGGGACATGAATCAGAGATGGAAACTATAGAAGTCGTAGAAGAAAACAGGGTGAATCTTCACGATCTGCGTTTGGTGAAGGAGTCTTAGATCTGACACTAAAAGCATGAGCAATGAGAGAGAGGAGAATGGCTAAGGGTTCCACGAGGGATGGAGTGGCCCGGCCACGTGACAGCTCGACGCTGGGCTGGACCGGTTCCCAAAGCAGCTGCACAATTCTGCTTTCCCACCCGCGGCGCGTGAGGGTCCTGATTCTCTGTGTGCTCCCGGCACTCGGGACGTGCTTCGCAGGACACCACTGGGAAGGAGGAAAGACAGCCCACAAGAGGGGAGAGAGGATTTGCACATAACACGGCCGGGCCGTTCCGTCCCTCGTGGAACCCCGGGTGCTCACTGAAGAGCAGGGAAAGTGTGTGTCCACACGAACCCTTGCACACGGATGTTCTCAGCCCCGTAAACCTGCTGGACCAAGAGTGGAAACTCCCCAAATGCCCATCAGTGGATGAGTGATCGAGCGTGTGTCCGCGTAATGGAACACGACTGAACCGTAAGAAGGAGCGACCTGCGCTACAACGTGGAGGGACCCTGAGTCAAAGCTGCCGGACGCAGAAGGACAGACACGGTGTGAGTCCGTTGACACGAGTGTCCAGAACAGGCAGATCCCTAGAGCATGAAAGCAGATGAGTGGGTGCAGGGACGCTGGCGGGCGGGCAGGACGGGGAGCGATAGGCAGCGAGCACCGGGCTGTCCCAGGTGGTGAGCGTGCTCTCAACTACCGGTGGGGGCACAGCCCTGAACACACACGAGGGACTACGGGGCGACGCACTCCAAGTGGGTGAGTTGTAGGGTGTGTGAGTCACGGTGTGGGGGTGCTCGCAGCCTCCCAGGGTGAAGATGGGCTGGCGGGGCCGGCGGGAGGCTCGGGGCCAGCACTGCCCCATCCACCCTGGTGGCGAGGACAGCGGGG